CGGCAAGCTCATCCTGAGGCCCGGCCGCATCAATGGCTTGCAGGGCAAGTGACAGAACCGTTCGGAACGGGCCACTTGGCGACCACCGAGCAGTTTGCAGAGCGGCTGAAGCCCGTGTCACGTGCAACACTTTCGTGCGCGATCTGAATGTGGCGGTCGCCTCGTTTTGATGACCGCGGCATCGAGGTCATTGCCAACGGCTAGCTCTTGTGGAAAGGAGCGCAGCTTGCGGTCGAGACGACCGTTGTGTCGCCACTGACAGCCAGTGGCGCGGCCCGTTCCCTGCGAGACCCTGCCCGGCTCATTGCTTTGCAGGAGAACCGGCATCGCAAGGAATCCACCTGAAAGCAACGCCCGTTGCCGCCTCGTTGTCCTCGGCTGGTTTGCTTTCGGCACCTGCCTCCACCCCCTTTCCCGAGAGCCTGACTGTGCAGCAAGTCTTGTCCCAAAACCCGCGCCTCCGGGCACAGGAGGGCTTGAAGGAAGGCTGTTGGTGAGCCGGCAGACAGTGGAGCCCATGCAGCCAGCTTTGGCGCGGACGCTGCCCCAGAGGGCGTTGGCGCGGACTCTGCCCCAGAGGACGGGCCTGACGAGCAACCAAGCGTGCGGGCTCGCGCCACACCGCAGCCGGTGCTTGCGGCGGTGGGCCCGCCCGTGCAAAAGGCGGGCGCCGTTGAGCCGGACGACGCGGTGGCGGCAATGGCTGCCGCGCTGGCCGCGCCGCGCCGCCGCCGCCGCTGCCCGCGCCAGCCAAGGCGTGAGCCGGGCGAGGCTGGCGCGCAGCCCGCGCAAGTCCCCGTCGCCGCCGCCGCCGCGCGACGCGCTGGAAGCCATGCATGATGTAGACCTGGCCGCGGAACTGCGCAAGAGGGTATACACCATATTATCAGATATGTATGTATATACGTAAAGATGTTTAAGGGCTGATTCGGGTAGCCCAATTCCTTCTTGGGGCCCTAACAACCATGCGAGCCAAACAAAGACTTGCTCAGTGCTCAGTCTCAGTAGTGCTAAGCCATACAGTAGGGATATGTTGCTTCTTTTTTCTGGGTCGTTTCGTTTCTCGGGGCCGCTGCCTATCCAACCAGCAAGTAATCCTCTCGGCACCATACTGATGGGCGGTGGCGACATCCATGGCCGTGTGCGCGGCGCCTTGAAGAACGCCATGGCTGCTGGCTTGGCAGAGGTGCAGCACGACCCCGGCGCCAGCGACGGATGGAAGCTGTTCCTCCTCGCTCCGCGGATGCTACTGCACCGCCGGCGGGGCGAGACCCGCATCCAGCATGACGAGCTGGATAGGCGCGTGGCCTTGCTGGGCAACCGCGGCGGCGGCGGACGAACCGCATCCCAACTCGCGCGGACACGCTTCGGCGAACAACGACAGCCAGCGCCGCGCGGAACGAGCCGCAGCGCTTGCCCATCTGGGCGAGTTCTCGGCAGCTAGCGCTGCGCTCACCGCGTCGCCCATAGCGCCCGCGACGCGAGACACACCTCGAGCTTTGCGTGACCCCGACCGTCGCCCTCCGCAGCGGCAGGTCCCGCTGCCGGAAGGCCTGCGCGACAACTTGCCCGCCCCACTCGCCTTGTGCCGGAAGCGCTTTCTGCAGAACGTGCGTAGCAGTCGCCGGGGCGCGAGGCGCTCCGTGTCCTCGTCGACGACGAGGCCAGCGCCGAGCTCTTGTTCCGCGCCGCGGAACAGCTCGCGACTGCCGCGGTGCCGCCGCTCGTGCTCGCGGGCGTGCGCTCGACGGCGGAGTGCGCGGCCTGGTCATGAGCGACGTGTTCCGGCGCGTCGTGGCGCGGGCGCTCGCGCAACAGCACGCAGGCGCCTTCCAAGCGGCTTGCAATACGCGCTTCGGACTCGGGCCGGCGCCGAATCCCTTGCCCGGGCTGTGCGGGCGGCCTGTGAAGCCGATGGGCGCACCACCGTGCTCAGTGTGGATGGGGTCGGGGCGTTTGACCACATCTCACGGGCCAGCATGTTGCGCGGCCTGCGGTGCGATCCTCGCCTGGCAGCCTTCCTGCCGTTCGTAGCCCAGTTCTACGCTGAGCCGAGCACGTACCTCTTGTATGATGAGGACGGGGTCGCGCACGACATAACGCAGGCTGAAGGGGGCGAGCAGGGCGACCCGCTCATGCCGGCTCTTTATGCCCCCGGGCAGCATCAGGCGCTTCTCCAGGCGCACAGGGTGTTGCGCCCCGGCGAGGATCTCTATGCGTTCTTTGACGATGTCTACGTGACGTGCACGCCCGACCGCACCGGGCCGCTCTCCGATGCTTTAGGCATCGCCTTGTGGGAGCGCGCCAACGTTCGCCTCCACTTGGGCAAGGCACGGGCATGGAACGCAGCGGGCGAGGAACCCAGCTCGCTTCTGCTCACGCTTCCCCCCGAAGCGCGCTCCGCCGCTTGGACAGGCAATTGGGCGCGCGCTCCAAACCAACAAGGGCTTGCCGTGCTGGGCACGCCGGTGGGGCATCCGGAGTTTGTAGCCCACAGCCTCCAGGACATGCGTGTCAAGCACGATGCGCTGCTACGGCGCATCCCGTCTGTGCCCCACCTGCAAAGCGCATGGCTCCTCCTCCTCTTGTGCGCGCATCCGCGCAGCAACTACTTGCTGCGAGTGCTCCCGCCCGCCGAGACGGAGGCGTACGCGGAGTCGCACGACAGCGCCATCATGCAGTGCCTCCAGCACCTGCTTGGTGACCCGGACTTCGCCCGTGACCCGCGCCAGCTCCAGGGTGCCCGGGTGCCGCGCGCCGATAACCGGCATGGAGTCGGCCCAGGACGCCCAATACGCCGCGAAGCGAGACGCGGCTGCCGATCTGAGCCCGAGCCCCCCGAACCGCAGGGGGAGCTGTGCACGCCTGGCTGCGCAGATGCTCGCAGGGCTGGCCAACCCAGCAGGCTCTCTCGCCACGCCATCGATGCGCGCGGCCGCGCACGCGGAGGAGGTGTTGCGGACAGCTGGGTTCGCTGCGCCGCCGTGGGCTGCGCTGGTGGGCCAAGGGTGCCCCCGCAGCGGCATGCCCGAGGCTCCAGCGGCAGCGGCAGGCGCAGGCGACGGAGCAGGACACATCGAAACGTGTCGTCCTGAAGCCTGAACTCGTCGCGAGTCGGCAGCGCGGCAGCGGCAACGCTACCGCCCGGCCCAGCTTGAGACAGCAGCAAGGCCCGAGACGCTGGATCGAGTTCGGTAAATAGCGTCTCGAGGGCCTTCCGGTCCTGGGCGCAGGCGGCCTGCTGCCAACCTCGCGCGGTGTCCCCGAAGCTGGCAGACAGTTCGTCCGCTCGGTGACCACCGGACTGCTTGCCCCACCGCTGGCGTGCTCGTCCGCCGCGCGGGCCCGCTCGAGCGCGCCGTCGCCTGGGTTTGTCGCGAGGCTGGCGCGCGGGTAGCGACGAACGTTTTCCTTCGCGACCTCAACCTCGGCATGCCGTTGTCCGACGGGCGACGGCTCGAGGTTGTTGCGAACGGGCTTCCCGGTTTCGGCGGCGTACAGGTAGCGATCGACGCGACGCTTGTGAGCCCAGTGCGGCGCGATGGGACCAACCGGCGTTGCCCTGCGGGAGGCAACAGACCACAAGCGCCGGAGCACCTACCCGGAGTTCCGGGGTGCGGCGCGGTGCCGCCTCGTTGTCGTTGCCCTCGAGGTTGGGGGGCGCTGGGGGGACGAGACGGAAGCCTTCCTGCACCGCCTCGCGGGGGGCAAGGCCCCCGCCAGCCCCGAAGACCAGCGTGGAAAGGTTGCCGTCGCGTACGCGCGCCGGTGGGGGCAGTTGCGCGCTCGCGGCCAGCCTGAGCTCGCTTCCTCCCGACGCTGGCGACGCCGCTGCCGGGGCGCCGCCGCAGGGCGACGTCGTCTGCGACGCCCGCTGGGCGCCGGACTCGTGAGAGCCCTTGTGTTTCACCCCGGCTGGATGGAAAAAGGCGTGTGGGAAAAAAATCGTCCTTCCATGCAATCAAATGCTGAGATGAAATGCATGTCATGAGACCACAAGATATAGAGAGTGGAGATGTGGTGTCAAAATATGAAGGTAATAGACGTGGAATAGCCAAGAGACGGAAGGAATAGGGATTGGGAACGTCCGGAGAAAGCGAGTCAATGGGAACGTGCGGATGGACGAAGGAATGTCATTTTTTTGATTTTCTATTTTCTCTTTCTTTATCATTCATTTTCATATTCTTATATTTGGTTTTCTTTTAATTGTCGTAATAATCTCTAACCAACCGTCCCAGCGAGGGGCAAACCCGTCGTGGTTCCGCCACTGGGCTGAAGCGGTTGCCGCATCCAAAAGCAAACGCGCGAAAAACCATGAATGCGGGGGAATTTTTGGATGCCAGACCTGTGAAACAGCGCGCGTTCCGCGAACGCCATGGGCCACGTTTGCCCTGCTGCCAAGGCGCGCCTCGGTCGCCTCCCACGAATGTGATTTTTTGTTTTTGAGTCGCGCGCCCTTTTCCACCGGCTCCGTCCCCGAAACCCTTCCGGGCACTGGGCGGCTTTGCTTGCCAGGCACGGCGCGTGCGTCTGGTAGCTCAGGAAGCTCCGGTCTCACGCAGCCCGTTGTTCCACAAGGGTATTTCGACATTGGGAGGCTTGTTGCGGCGGGCCAAGAGGGCGATCAAGGAGACTTCCTTGGCGTGCGGGGCTCACTTGCGGAAGTCCAGGCCTGGAACCCAACGAGTTGCTGTCGGCTTACCTGGAGGATGCTTACTTCGCCCGGCCGGAACGCATCCGCTTCTTTTTGGTCGCTAGTCCGAGGCTTTCTGGCGCCGTGCGTGAATCCGCCTGAACCACGCTGCGGGTTTGGAGCGAGGCCTCCCCTTGCTTAGCCCCCGGCCAGCAGGGCCTCCGTGTGCTCGGCGTTCTCCCAAATTCGTCGCAGCGGAGCTCGATGCGCTCGCAGCGAGCTGCCAGCGCGTGCTGCTCGCTTTTTTTTCTCCACCGTGTATGACGTGCGAGCTTCTTGGCTGCTTTTGCTGTTTTGCTCCCTCTGCAGCTTCGTGGCTCGAGAGTTTTGGAGAAACCATGGCTGGCTGGCAAATATCATTGTATTTTCTTGCGTTGTGGTCAGAAGGTACGTCTTCGGAAGTGCTTCCCGCCGCAGCAAACTGGACGGCGACTGGAAACGGGCAGCCCCTCGTGGCGCCTTGGCCAGCCCTTTCGCGCAGCCAAAATCGAATTCGCAAAGCGTTGGCCCCAAGCTCCGCCCGAATTGCATCGTTCCTTCGCGTACCTTGAGACGCAAAGGATCATGAATCATGTGTCATTCCGTACAGGTCAAACAGCGTGGGATCCAAACGCTTCAGGCCATTTCAAAGTGCACTTTGAGAGAGAGAGGGAGAGAGAGGGAGAGCACGCTTGCAGCCTAGGTTGTCACATACAATCTGTACTGGTGGTGCGTGTCCGACGAGTATGGAAACTGCCCACAGAATGCTGATGGGAAAGGCTTCCAAGGCATTTACAACCGACTGCAGCAGAACGGTCCCTTCGACCTGATCGGATTCCAGGAGTGCGATGATGTAGGCCTCGCTGCTTCCGAGCATGCCTCTTGTTTTTGCAAGTTGGCTTGCCAGCGAGTGGCCCACGTGATTTGGCACTTGAATATGGATGGCTGCATGCACGTCACCCTCTTGTGTCATTGCACATATTTGCTTCCTGGCCAGTGGGGCGCATGTGCCGGTGTCACTTTTCAGTCGTTCCGCACATCATGGTCTGTTTATTGCGGTGCAACATTTTCGCTGCTTTTGTGTGAGGCAAGATCATCTCGGGCTCGGGGCTGGCCACATCCTTCGAGTACTACACACCTGCCAAAGGCGCGGGGGCCGCACCCTACATGAGCCACAATCAAAACTAAACCCGGGTAGATGGAGGTTAGCAAGGGACGATCCCAATCATAAATAGCTGCGGCCGCCTTCTTAAATCCTGTACATGGTTCTGGGTAGACCATTTTAGCACCAGGTTTTGATTGCGACTCACATGAATTGCTGGCTCATGATTGTTTTGGCTAATCTCGACTGCTCCTGCCTGGTTTTGATCCAAGCTTCCCGTCCAAAGCCCTCACCCTGCATTGATTCCTTCGGGAAGTCTGGCCCTTGGGGCAGGGCATTCCCGCCCCAACCCCCCACCCCCCCCGCACCCCCCTTCCTACCCTACATACTCTTTTGCAGCTAAGCGAGCCGGAACAAAAACCGACCATTTCGCAGCATGCAGTGTAGAGGAAGCGGTTTGTGCTCAAGGGTTGCCTGGAAATTTGGCCTAGTCCCCGAAATTCTTGCAAATAGCTTTGCGAGGTCCCTCACGGAAGAGGCCCATGCACGTCGTATGGGCAGGCAACGACGCCGCCATGGCGTGGCAGCACGAGAAGTTCAGGGCCATCGAGGGCCCAGGGGTTCACTGGGTGGCCAGGCGGGTCGCCTCCACTTGGGAGGGTTGCGGAAATCTGCTTGGAGCCGCCCATGCAAAGGAGAGAGAGAGAGAGAGAGAGAGAGAGTGAGAGAAAAAAAAAGCTAACTTGCTTTGGGCTCGAAAGCTCGAAAGTCAGGCTGGTACCTTGAGCGTCAGGGTTGTTGCAAGGCATGGCCATTTGCTTTGCATGAGTGTTTCTTTGCATGAACCAAACAATTCGGAGGCATTTTTGGTCGCTGGAAGTGTGATGCACATGCCCGGGGCATATGCTCGCCATCTTCAGATAGCCAGCGACCCGACTCGCAGACGAGCAGTGCCTCATGCTGTCCACACAGCACATATGTTCAGCGTCGAAGAAAACAGATGAGACTGTGAGACTGTGTTTTCCCCCAGTTTTTTTCGGGTTTTGTTTGATTCAGGGGTGAGGCGTTAGACACACTCAGGACATTTGCTTCAGGTTGGTCTCCGTTGGAATTCCGTGGCATTCGCACGGCCAGGGACAAGTATGGCGACCGCAATGTGAACTGGGTGCGGCTGCAGGTGCCGATTCTGATAGGGGGGGGGCGCCAAAGATCTGACAGGCAAAGATCAAACGTCAGTCTTGGACTGTAGCCAGGGCAGTTTTACAGAAGGTTCAGTGAACTTAGAGCGCCGCCTGGAGCAACTGGCTGGATGTACACCTGAAGGAACCACAAACCTGTACGAGGGGAACCCCACAGACGCGCTGGCAGGTCGTGGGGAGCAACACTGTCATCTTCTTTGCGAACACGTGGCTCCGATGCACAACTTGGCTCCAACTCGACCCCCTCCCCCACCCCCCTGCCTCTGTGGATCTAGTGCGCTTTGGACCAACCAAAAGTTGCAATAGGGGCGGTGCAACTTTGCTGACATGAAGGATTGGTTTAGATGCGGTGTTTTTGGATTTGGCCATGGCTTTGAACTTGCGCTCCAGCTTCTTTGTCAGCCCAATCGACAACCATTCAACCCTTCACGCCTAAATGTGCTATACGAACTTGCTGGAACATACTCGGTACTCCGAATCGTTCTGCGGTGGTCCACGCAAGAGGGAGCCACACCCGCACAGGATGCGAAGTAACCAAGACTACTACCTATGAAGATATTCTGTAGGTAGAGGACCACTTGCTATCCTGTGACGCCAACAAACTCATATTTAGGTGGGTCTCTTTTGGGGATACGGATTTCGTAGACTCGGCGGAGATTTGTCATAAGTTCCTTTGGGTCACGACAACTTGTGTTCCGGGTTTTGTTTTTTGCCTCTGGGCTAGCTTTTGGTCTTTTGTGGCCTTTTGAGAGTTCGTGTGGCTTTTGGCGGGTTTTGTGGCTTTGCCTTTCCACACCCGGCCTTAAGCACCGACAACGCCAGCACTTGAACGGAATGAATTCTTCCGAGGCATGGGCCACTGGACCAGTGCGGGGGCAAGCCCGGCAAGACGGTGGCGGCGAACTATGCGCCTTGGACCCTAGGGCACGTCCCATGATCCCCGCCTTTTTTGGCGGGATTCCAATTCATTGTTCGGATAACCCCGAGCTCTCAAGGTCTTAAACTGAGAACAACTTTGAGAAAATGGACCGGAAACAGGGAACTTTCTCATAGCCTTGACTTTCACAAAGATGCTTGTCAGGTCTGGCATTTTCCTTTTGAATCCGACAACTAGATGCTGTCTGTTTTTCTTTTTGGTTGCCCCGTGGAGTTTCTGCATGTCTTGCACGACGAACAAGCTTGCTAACTGATCAGCCAGATTTTCCCTGAGTACATGTTCGTAGCATCTGAAGGTTCATTGGGGCCCCAGTTCGTAATCTTGACTGGGAATGGATAGTACGTTCACATTGGTGCTTTGTTGCATGATGCTATTAGTGGGTATGCACGGTTACTTCTTTCAAAAAGCCATGTGACCCAGCTAAGCTCTCCGCCGTGAATCAGCACAAGAAGCCCGGAGTGCCTGGGCTGCAGAGGCAAACACAGCCAGGTACGCGCAGCGAGCAAGTCAAGGCACGTAATTGCAGGCCTCGGTGCATTGGAGAGAGCTGAGGATGTGGTGGTTTTCACCGGCGACTTCAATTGTGGCAGCAACCAGGACACGATGAAGGCTTTGTCCCAGGCGTGCCGGGCTGGGGCTGCCGGAGGTTGACAGCATTTGTTTTGGAGAGGCTGTTCGTTTTTCGTTCTTCTCCACCCCTCCCTTTCATGATAGAGCTATGGTAGAAACACTTTTTGTGACAAGAACCCGGGCTTGCTTGTTCCGCTTTCGCGTGTCGGACATCACGTGGGGTGGGACTGTATGTTTGACGGTGTTTGTTGTGGGGTGGGAGCGCATTGCTTGCCACAGAGCGTGTTTATCAGAGAGTCAGTGCAGGAACTTGTTGCAAGCAACAGGCTCTTCTTGACGGACGACAATATTCTTTGTGGGGCTGTCGGTTACCAAGATAGTTTCCAAGTGAACAGGCTATGGTGAACTAGGCCGGGTATTTCCAGCTTTTTTTTGTTTTTGTTTTGCCTGCCGAGCGCAGTGCTGCGTGAAGGTTTGTGTCCAAACAGCCGCAAAGGCGCGGGCCCCGGGCCCCGGGCCCCGACCTGGTGCCAACCGCTCAGGCTCTGGAGGTTGACGCAGGGAGCCCTGAGAAGTCTCCGGCGAGCGGGGCGTGACCCCATGAGTTGGTCCAAACCAATCATCACAAGTCACCAAACAGTCGCAAGGATTTTGCAAGACATTTGTTGCGACAGTAGTGCGTTCAGACTTTGTTGTGAATCCTAATGGCCCGGCCAGGCCAGACAGTCACCATTAGGGCCATGAGGATTTTGCAAAAACTGGCTCGTTCCAGACGTCCGGCTCACCTGCAACTTTGTTCCAGACCCGTTTCCAGATCTCCGATTCAGCGCTTATACCAATACCAGCGTGGAAAGGACATCAAAGAAGGAAAGAAAGAAACGTAGAAAGAACAGAAAGAAATAAAGAACAAAAGAAAGAAATAAATGCAAACATAAAGAAGGAACAAGAAAGACATAACGAAAGAACAACATAACGAAGGAACAAACACGCAAACCTAAATGAATAAAAAACTTGAAGGAAAGAAAGAAAGAAAGAAAGAAAGAAAGACAGAAAGAAAGGAAGGAAGGAAGGAAGGAAGGAAGGAAGGAAGGAAGGAAGGAAGGAAGGAAGGAAGGAATGAAGACAGAAGAAAAAACAAAGAAGGAAAGAAGAAGAAGCAAGGCAGAACGACAGAAAGCGAAAGCAGACACGCCATAAAGACAGACACGAAGAAAAGATCATCAGACGCCAGAAAGCAATACATGAATAAATAAATAAATAGATAAATAAATAAATGAATAAATGTATAGGTTAAATATGTACAGAATGATGTAACGAACTAACACCATACATAAAGAAAGAGCGACCAGAGAACAACACAACGAAGGACAAAACCAAACTACCGAAATAGAAAGAAATAAACAAGGGAGCATAACTAAATCAAACTAGAAAGACAAGCAATATTATTTAAATCCAGCTGCGCTGTGTGTCTTCGAGCTCGAAGTGCGAGAGCAACCCTACCCGCCAACTCACCAGCATCGCCAGCATTCCTGCATCACCAGCATTTGGGCTTTCCAGCATCCTTTGCGTCCCTTACATCCCTGGCATCGCGCCAACTCTCAAAGAAATGGCCTCCTGGGAGTAGTTTTGGCGGTGGGCAGATATAGTGGGCATGTTTGCGATGAAGTGAGCGGGGTTTCTGCGAAAGCGGGGCCGGCGCCACTACGCGGAAAACAGAGCGCAAATACCGTGCTTTGAGTCATTTTGTCCCCGGCTTTTGTGGGGCTGAGAGGGGATGCCGGGGATGCAGTCTTCGTTTTGGGCACGCGTGCCTGCACGCGCGCGTGACGCACGCGCGCGCGGATGTGCGCACGCGCGCAAGCACGCATGCATGCATGCACGTGCGCGCGCACCGCACGCTAGGGTGGGTGGGTGGGAATGGTGGAAGGGTTGGTGGAAGGGTTGGTGGGAGGGGAGGGTGGGCGGTGAGGGGTGGGAGGGCGGGTGCTGAGTGGGAGGGAGGTTGGGTGAGCAACCCCAGCGCAGCTGGTCATGGTAAATGCATAAATAATACACACGTAAACGAAGAACTATCAAACGGAAATAAGACAACAATATAAAAAGGAAAGCCAAGAAAGGAAGGAACGAAGGAATGAGGGAAGGAATGAAAGAAAGGAAAAAAGAAACACAAAGACAGGAGAAGAGAGGGAGGCGGGGAAGGTAGGGGGAGAGAGTCAACCTCGATGCGAACACGGTCCAGACTTCCAGACCGTTCCGAAGCCCAGGAAGGTTTCGGCAGGCAAGCCTCAGAATCAAAGACATCCAGACGCCCGGAAGGGATGTTTTGAGCAGGCCGATCCGGATCGGCCCCTTTTTGGCCCTCTGCCAACTGGTGGTCCATATTTTGATTCTTGTCTTTCGCTGACAGCCACCCCTTTGTCGGAAGACCACTTACTTGAATGGAGGTTTTGCTCCAGCATGTGGATCCACTACTGTATGGTTTGGACCTATCATTGCGCGAGGCGTCCATGAGTCCCTGAGTCTGAGCTTTGTACTAGGTGGCTGTCTCGTTTTTCCCAAAACAGTGTGTCTACACTAAGGGGTTCTTACGGTAAGAGAAAAGGCCTTGGTGCCAGATTGAGGTGCCCGCTCTGGCCGCGAGCGTTTTGCATGCTATTTACCGCAGATTCGTGCTCTTGCTTGATGTCGAAGTGCGTTTTGACTGCGCAGGCTCGCACAAAGTGAGTTGGCGACTTCTGGCCGCGAGCGTTTTGCGTGGTATTTACCGCAGATTCGTGCTCTTGCTTGATGTCGCGACTTCTGTCCGCGAGCGTTTCGCGTGGTATTTACCGCAGATTCTTGCTCTTGCTTGATGTTGAAATGCGTTTCGACTGCGCAGGCTCGCACAAACTCGATTTTTTTGCTTTTTTGGCGGATTCGGGGACCGTGGGGGTTTTGTCTCGTGGTCCGGCGGCACGGGTTTCCGGCGAAAGGTCCCGGGCTCGATTCCCGCCCTGTCCGCGCGAGCTTGTTTCCCTTTCTGTGGGCATGCTTGGATGGTGCTTCTGTGCTGCGACGGCGTCTCGATGGTACTCTGAACAACAACACCCAAAAACAGCAACAGCAACAGCAACAGCAACAGCGCCACAATCGAGAACAAAGGAAGAAGCTAACTAGCTAGCTAACTCACTAACTCAGGCACTCTGGTGAAACAAACACACAGATCTTGCCTTTTGTAGTGATGCTTACACACACACACACACGCACACACACACACACACACACACGCACAAACACACGCACACACGACCATGGCGCTGGCTTCGACACGTGTCTGCTGCATTCTCTTGCGCGTGTCTGTTCCAGGCCGTGTCCTTGTCTTTGTGAATGTGCGCGCACATACCGCAAAATGATGTTGCAGCTTCCTGACAACAACCGCCGTTTTGCGGCGCAGCCCGCGCAATACTCTGCAGCGTGTGACCGCCGCCTACCACTGTTTGGGGTCTCGTGCCGGGGTAATTTTTAGGCGGGAACCGTGCAAAAGTGTAGGTTTCCTTTCGGAGGAGGCCCTGTACCTTGCAACTCGAGGGGCACTGTGCGCTGCACGCTGCGAGCTGTTGCGCATAAGGCCACTGACAAGTCATACGGCGGCGCCGATCACATCTTCAGCACCGAGGGCGTAGCGGTGCTGTGGCACGGCTACAGTGACTTGGAATCGAAATCTCGTTGGGAGGTATTCGCACGGGCTTTCAAGTTTTTGGGAGACACGGGCCACCCAATTCTGAAGCGCACATTTGAGGGTTTGATGCATCTACAGTCCTTGTACGGTTACACAAGCGAGTTTTTAGGGGTCGCCCCGCTTTTGGAAGCAATGCTGCATTTTTTCCGGTGCGAAGCTTAGATGTACACCAAGACAAAGGAGAGCTCTTTGGAGATCGTGCGGAAGGGAGGGCCAGCCCCATAGCAATTGTTCGGGCCAAAGCGAAATTCGTCATGAGGTTCATTGCCAAGCGGGGGCGCGCTGCCAAAAGGGCTGGCCTCTATTTGAGAAGCACTGATTGTAAACGCCAACTGTAGGGATTGGCTCCAACATGGGACACTCCTATATGTATCATGGGGTACCAATCCTGGATTCCCATTATAGTGGTTGATGTTCTTCTGTGGAGGGGCGCACGGAGGTCCGGGCTCCCCTTCCGACCATCAGCTCCTCAAGGCACACGGCGGACACCCCGGTGGAGAAGGAAGGTGAAAGTCTCCTCTTTTTTGGCTTCGTTTTCTGCTTCCTACCCTTGACCTACCCTTGACCTCCCCTTCCCTCCCGTCTCCTCCTCTCTCCCCCCTCCCCTCCCTCCCCTCCCTCCCTTTCGCATGTTTCTTTGACTCGTCACGGTTTCGGCGTGTCCCGCCTTCAGAAGCTCAGTGAAGTCTCGGCTGGTGTTCCCGCCAGCGTTCCTTGATGCCCTCCTTTAAGCGTATTAAATGGGGCCGTAGCCGGTTGCGCGTGTTGCGCGTGTTGCGTGCTTTAGCTGGCTGCAACCGTCACGGGTACACTTGCGACTTGGTGAATTGTTGCCCTCTGAATAGAGTTTGCAACTTTTGCTCTTTCTTTATCTTTTTTTCACTCTTTTTCGCATGTTGTCTGTCTGTCTTTGCTTTCCTTTATTTTCCTTTATTTTCCTTTCCTTTCATTTTTTTTTCTTCTTGTGTTTTCTTTTCCTTCCTTTCCTGTCCTTTCCTGTCCTTTGCTTCCTTTCTTCCTTTCTTCCTTCCTTTCTTTCTTTCTTTCTTTCTTTCTTTCTTTCTTTCTTTCTTTCTTTCTTTCTTTCTTTCTTTCTTTCCTTCTTTCTTTCTTTCTTTCTTTCTTTCTTTCCTTCCTCTTTCTGCTTCTCTCTCTCTCTCTCTCGGTTTCTTTCTGTTTTTCTCTCTGCCTCTCTCAGTCTCTTTTCTCCCTTTCTCTTTCTCTTCTCCCTCTCTCTTAGGACAGGCACGTTCGCTTGGCCAATTCCGTTGAGCAACACTCTGCCGAAGCCCAACTGTGTGCGGTGCGCCGCGACAAACGACCCCCCAAACGGCAACCTGCCGTCTGAACAGGCACGGACTTCTTTGGCCTGAAGCTTTGTCAGTGTTGAAAGCGGTTGGGCGATTAACTGCTTTCCACAGTGCTTGGTCGTGGAGTAGGGATGGTTCACAGTGAGTTCTGTTATCCCATTCCAGGGAGCAAGCACTCGCGTTCCGAAGGGCTATTGGGAGAAGAACCGGGCGGATGGAAGCAACTTGCACGCTGGATTCCTTGGAGCTTTGGCCTTGGGCAATGCATCGGCAGTTAAGACTGGTGCGGCCTGAGGGCTGTCAAACAGTCTTCCCAAGGAGGCCCAGGTGCGTTTCCATTGAAAAGCCAAGTGGCTGAAT